AGGTTATTTGTATTGATATGGGTTTTGTGATGATAAAACCATGTTAGGAACGTGTCAAGGGTGAATTGAGAGCTTTCACGAGGTTTAAGGAGTCGCCGGAGTGGTCACCGGAGTTCGTCAAAGTTCACCGGAGTTTGGCCGGAGTTCAACCGAGAAGGGTAGAACTTCATCACGCTCATTTGAGGTGAGTGGACGGCTTAATGTCTTATAACTCTTGGGTTAATTATGAGATTACCTAAGTAAACGTTATATGTGTTCATAATGATGTTTAAAAGATGCTTAAACATGTGACTTTCCAAAGTGATTAGACTTATATGTATGACCCATGGATATCATAAATGAAGTATGATATGAAAATGTTTATAAAAAACATATATGATGTTTTAAGGGATAAAAGGGGCATAAAATGCTTGGTTATAACTTAATACATGTTGGGATTAAGTTTGACGCAAATCGGGTTTGAAATGGCGAGTCAACGAAAATGTTGACTTGGTTGCCCGGGGGGCAACCGGCGCCGGTTATAGGCAAAACCGGCGCCGGTTATGGATCGGCATGGCCGGTTTTATTAAATTAAATAATAACCGGCGCCGGTTATGTCAAAACCGGCGCCGGTTTGGCACTGTTTTGCCTATATGTTGATTTTTAATGCATGAATTGCATGGATGATTATGCTTAGGCCTTAAGACTTGGTTTAGTCTTGATTATTGATTATGATATAGACCTTATCTAGGATGATATGTGGTAGATCATAAGTCGGGTGGAGTACCCAAGGATCGGGCGGTATCCTCAAAACTCGGTTATAGGGTGGAGTACCCAAGGATCGGGCGGTATCCTCAAAACTCGGTTATAGGGTGGAGTACCCAAGGATCGGGCGGTATCCTCAAAACTCGGTTATAGGGTGGAGTACCCAAGGATCGGGCGGTTATCCTCAAAACTCGGTTATAGGGTGGAGTACCCAAGGATCGGGCGTGTATCCTCAAAACTCATAGATTATTATTTTATAATTTGGGACCGGGCGGTGTCCTCATGTTAAGATGATTTGAACCAGGAGGAGTTCTATACACTCATAGGTATATGGGTGGGTTGGGGTTTAAGCCAAGGTTAACGGCTATATTATTTCTCAAATAAACAATGACCTAAGGGTCGGGTATTTCCAAGTGTATATGTAATGATATATATTTCATAACTTGGGGGAAAGAACTATATGTATATGTATCACCCTATGTTTGGGTCTTATACTTGAAACGTTAGTTATTCTACATTTAGCCTGCTACTCGCTCGGTACTTGTACTGACCCCTTCGGGGGGCCCCACCATTTCAGGTTGAAGCTCAAGCTTGCATTCTCACCTTGCTCGGTGAAGTAATCTAAAGGGAGACGTGGTTCGTGCTTCCTTTACTATTTTAAACTATAAACTATGCTCATGGATATTTTGTAATAAGTACATTTGTTTTGGGCCTGCGAGTCCACGTTTTGGCCATATGTGGTCCATGATTGAATATTGAATATTTCCGCGATTCGTTTAATCCAAATATGTGATGTTGTTATGTATGTTTACTTACTGAGTATGGTATGAACAATGTTCATGGACGCCTTGTATGATTAAGTTACGTTGACTTGCGAGTAACGTCATTTAGTCATACGGCGGTTGTACACGCGCTCGGATGCGGTCCGGGGCGTGACACTTGCAACTCGTCATCAATCTTCATCTCAATTTTGGTTAATTGATTTATGAGCCCCTTGAAGTTGTTCAAATGTTCAATCATACTATGACCATCCTTATACTCCAACTTCACCAACCGTCGAACTAAATTGGCCTTATTATGAGGTGTCTTCTTTTGAATCATGGACTCAAGCTTAGTCCATAATTCATAAGCATTTGTGTAAGTCGAAACATGCTCGAAGAGAGATTTGTCAATGTACTTACGGATCATAGCAACGGCCTTCCGATTCAGTAGCTCCCACTGGGCATAACTCTTGCCTTCAACCTTCTCTTTGTAGATGATGGGCTCATGCAAATCCTTGCAATATAAATGATCTTTTATCATCGGCTTCCAATATGAGTAGTTGTTGGCGGTGAGCTTGAACATGTCTCCATCATGAGTGACGTTATCCTCCATCTTGAACTGCACGAGCTAATGACGATCTCAGGTGAACCTGGCTCTGATACCACTGTTGGGAAAAACTCCGGACTTTCCCACTTCGTGAAGTTAAGATAGGCACTTAGGAATCAAGGTAGCAATGGGAGCACACGATTTAAATTCTCCAATATGAAGATTCTTCCAATATACAAAAGAATAGTATGATTTACAAGGATGTTACAAAATTGTCTCACTCAATGGTGGCTCACTCAAACTTGAGGATAGGAACTTCCCAAGCTATCTCTCTTCTCTCTCAAAGAGGTTCTCTAACTCTCTAGCTTTCTCACTCTAAGAAGTGGATTCTCTCTTACTAGGATGGTTATGAGTGGAGGCCTCTACTCCTGTTTATACTACTCCACCTTCACAATGAATGGTGGGGAATGGGGATGATTTCTATCCAATAGTGGAGATTGATTCTCTAGAATGCTCCACACACTCTAGGAGTCTTTATACTCTTCCACTCTCTTCCATATCCTTCCATACTCTTCCATAAGCTTCCGGAAGGTTCCACACATCTCTAGAATATTCTAGAGGATTCCACACTATTCCACATACTTCTAAAGAGTTCTAGACTTCTCTAGGATTCTCCAGAACTTTCTAGAAAATTCTATACTTCTCCAGAAAGCTCTAGAATTTTCTAGAACCTCTCCAATTAAGGAGGGATCCCAACAAAATGCATAAAGAAATTTTCTATATTCAAATAAATTATGAATAATTCATGCATTTCAAAAACATGTTCAATCATTTGCAACGGAGCCAAAGACTCACTATTTTTTAACCTGGGAATATGTAGCCAAAGACTTACTATAGGTCATCCGAAAACCGTCTCTCCGTGCATACATCTGACCTTTCCTTACTCCACCGTAGGTAGCACCTTTGGTGACACTAGGATAATGATGACGATGATTTAATTATTTATAGGATTGATTATAATATTATATGATGAAGCGTGAAGAAGGGTTGAATTGGAATTAAGAGTCCTTGAATGTATATTGTATCTATACGTGATTTTTAAGTAAAAAACATGATTTTAAGTGTATTACGAGTATTAATTAATGGGTGAGAACTGATTGGTTTTATTAGATGCATCAATTTTCCTCAGAAAAAGGACCGTTTTTATGTGATGAATAAATTGTTAAACTGCTAATTCAATATTTGAATGATATTGCCATGTAAGGACTTGATTTTCAAAACAAAATGACCCAGACGAGAGCGTTGAAAATTCCAAATGAGAGTTCTTCTTGTGTGTGTTTTATTGAATAGTGAGTTTAAATACTACGTATTTATTACTAATTTATTTACTATTAGGAATTAATTTCTAAACAAATTGTTCTAGGTTATAGAGTCCGAATAAGAGTCCTACTTATACGAAGTATGTTTTATTAAATAGTGATAATAGACATTTATCACCGTGTAACGTGATAATAGAAAATTGCCATTGTGATTTTCCAATAACAGTGTTTTAGTGACATGTCCATTTTTTATGTTTTAGGTTCTCACTTTTTTGTGATTAAAGTCTAATTTACATCTTCCATCATCCAGTTAATTGTCGTCTGATCGGTACTGAGAGGACATCCTATTAACTGTCCCACTACACCTCTGGCCTATTGACTGTCCGACTACACCTCTGAGCACTAGAAAACTCAATTTACACAATCTTTTTTGCCATAAACCATTGTCAGTGTGCACATTTCTACCATAAACTTGACAAAATTTTATACCATCATCCAAAACTCAAAATATCATTTTTTTTAAAAAGTAAGAAATATGAAATTAGAAATACGAAATAGAAGTCTAAAAACCGGCAAAATTAATACCAAAACTAAAAAAAAAGAAGAGGAGAAGAGAAGGAACATGACTGTCAGATCCGGTGACGGCAATGACTAGATCTACAAGACTGGAGGGAAGAAGAGGAGTGCGGTGGAGTCAGCGATGGTGTGCGGTGGAGTCAGCAACGTGAGGTGAAGTTGATTGCAAGGGAGAAGAGCAGATGCGAAGAAAATGAGAATGAGATGTTAATTTTTGTATGCTCCATAATAGTAGTAATTGGTCCTATTTGGGAATAGGAATATAAGAGTTCCTATTTTTGAATTTCAACCTAGTTTTACTCCTGTTTGAGGTAATTACTATAGAAAAAACTCAAAGTAACATAAGAACATACATGTTACTTTTCCATATATGATAGTTTTGTGTGTTTTTAGGGTTTTAGCTCAAATAAATGTCATCTAACAAGTTATTTTTTCCGAACAGTTAGGCTCAAAAGACACATTATTGAACTGTGGTCTGTGGAGCTATTTTTCTAAACACATTAATGTGGTGTTTTATCATAGAACCATCTAAACCTTGAGCAAACGCTTCGAAATCCCCCATCATTTCAAACCAAGAGTCATGTTTTATAACTTATAAGCATAAAGTTTATTCAATCCACACACAAAACAGATCATCAGATTGCTTACACAAACACTTCGATCATTAAAATTGAACCAGAAAAGCTAGAAGAAAAAATTAGATTTTTTTTGCAGCTAAATAGAGTTGGAATGGGATAAATGGATAACGGCATCTAATTTGGCCTCAGAAGCAATGACACACAAGTGCACAACGCTACATTCACAAAGTTACACACTTGATGAAATGTACCCAGTAGTATAAAAGTATGTGTGTTTATAAAGTTTGAGACTTCAATATAAATTTAATTGAAAACACAACGTATCTTGGAGGAATTGAAAAATCATAACACTGCAATTTGAACAATTTCGTAGTGTGCAATCACATGCATAAAGCGCTATACACTGTTCTTATGTTATAACCATCAACTAACCATTTTTTATACGAGTTACCCATAATGGCAATTTAAAATTATGCTACAATGTCATCAACTTAGATGCAATTATATCTAAAGAAGCTTTTTTAAAACGATCTACGGAATCTTTTAAAAAACAAAAATAGAATAAAACAAGTATAAATACCATACAAACAAGATTCTTGTGAGGAACTAAACAATGAAGCAAAAACTACATAGGCTATAGCACATAGTCAAATACACAACAGTACTAAGAACATCAAAAGCTAAAAGAACCCAGTTGGCAATTGATACTGGATCCCCTTGATTATACATGAAGTACACTACTTACTCAGTACAGATACGTTAGAGGTGACCTTTTACCAATTTTACTGACATTCAGTAAGGAGAATAGTAATTCTTTGAATTACGAGCATCAAAACGACCCAACCTAGAAGGGGTAATACTATCCAAAGCTGCCCCAAATACTCGTCCACTGTTTTCATATGTGGTACCGTCATAATGTGACCTATATCCATCACTATGTGATCTATAGCCATTATGCTGGTGTAATGGTACACCAGGGGGAACTGGAATCGAAAGAGAAAACTGTCATTAAAAGTATCTGAAGTTCATAAATCAAAAGAATTGATAAAAAAAAGAGGATATGAAAAATATAGCTAATATGATAATTGACAGTATTCACTTATCTAAGGATCAAAATTCACCTTTTGGATAACTTGGTTGATGCTCAGAGAACCGAAATGGTGCAGGAAAACTCAGAGAATATGGAGAGATTTCTTTATCTTTATCATATGGCGATACAGACTGCATCCTTTGTCTAACAGAAGAATTTAATGCAGGAGGGGTTTCTGTTGATGAGTTTTTTGATTGTTTATCTCTTCCTGAAATCTGTTTTCAAAAGCTATTCATTGTTGCCCATTCTAAAAAATACAACATATGCATTGATTTTGGGTTTTCCTTCATTAACAGACCAGGTTACAGTCAGATCTTACCCTACAACCAATAACATATGCCTCTTTTTAGTCCTAGAAGAAGCAACAGGATGAGAAATATTCAACTATGTGAGGAATTTCAACATAAAATAGTCTGGCCTTGGTGAACATTAAGGTGAAAGCCCCAGGAAGGCTTAGGCACCATAAACCTTTGTTCATGCCAGGTACTCTTGTAAAATGAAGAAGAATTGAAAAAAATGCAATCAAATACATGTTGGCCAAGTCACATGATATGGGAGCATTAAGTGAAATTATAATATGCCCCGAATGAAATAAGTTAAGCCAAGTATATCAAGAGCATACCGCAAATTTCAGTGTTTTGTTGCACAATGTCACCAGACCAGAAAATAGTTTGACAGCATATTCTGCTATTTCCTCTGTCTCATAGACAGCAAATGCATAGCCTTTTGGCTTATCAGAATCCTTATCACGGGGCACATACAGGTCAACCACGCGGCCAGCTTGAATAAGAATATCATACAACACCCTGTCAGTTACCTTCTCATCCAAATTACCTGCAAAATGCAAATTACTTGCAGTTCAATACCATAATTCATCCATACAAGGAACATTCAGATGATCCAGGAGAACAAGAAAACAAACCACTTCGAAACGCCAAGAAGAATTTAAACAATAAGTGCTCACATGGACTTTGGTTATAAACATAACAATGCACTCATCTTATAATTACCAAATGAAATAAGATAATTTGGATATTTTGGTATTTGGGAACATAAAATCCAGCATATAGATCATCATGTATAAAGTGAGTTGATCTGAGAGACCTGGAAAACGGTATCTGGATTATCCATAAATCCATAAATATAACCAAAATCCATATAGGGGACAATTCAAGAGCAGATAGGGGCAGCCAGTATAAGTATAGAGAGCATCACACAGAAATTGGGGGCAGATGAGTTGTATGAATTTTGAATTCCAAAATTTGCATGTATTCTATTTAATTCAGATTTTCCCGCAAAACCCTAGCTTATACTCTGAAGGATTATCTCCCCAAATCTAAAATCACAATCTAATACGAAATGCAAAAGAAACAGCCGCACAAAATCTTTTTGGAACAAAAAGTATCAAACAGTTAGATTTCAAAAATATAAAACTCATAATCACAAGAAAAACCTACCAAGATTTGAAAGAAGCTTAAAACTTACCGACGTAGACAGTGCTATTGACGTTCTCAGCCATTGTTGACAGTGGGGTGGGAGGGGTCGGTTGGATTTGCGGATATTGATTAGTCAATTGGATTTTATGGTGGCTGATGAAAAGTGAAAACCGTACATATTTCAGGCTTTCAGCCAAGTTTATTTCACGAAATAATAACATAACTAAAATAAAAACTATTTACAAAACTATGATTAGTGACTAAAATAGTAATGAAATTGTAGTAATTTATGTTCAATTTTTAAACCTAAATTACTATGACACTACATTGTACGTAGTAGTAACTAATAGTTATAAATAAATTTTATTTTAGTTATATATTTATAAAAAAACTCTTATTTCACTCTATTTTAAAAAGAGTTTTTACCATTTTTAGTCCGCCGACTATTATGTTATTGACACTTTTGGTACTCGACTTTGATTTTTTCCATTTTTAGTCCTTGACTATTGTGTCAAAGACACTTTCGGTACCCGTCTTTGAAAATTTTCATATTTAGTCCTCCAACTTTTATAAAAGTGACACTTTTAGTCCTTCAACTATTGTAATAATGACATTTTAAGTCAAAATCATAGTTGAAGGACTAAAAGTGTCAATTTGATAATACTCATGGACTAAATGTGAGAAAATTTGAAGTTGAGGACTAAAAATGTCTCTAGCACAATAGTCAAGGACTAAAATTAGAAAAATTAAAAGTCGAGTACCAAAAGTGTCAAAGACACAATAGTCAGGGGACCAAAAATGGCAAAAACTCATTTTGAAAACCCCTAATGAAAACCCGATATTTCAGCGATTAGATGGAGTTTCCTAATTTATTCTAATGGTTAAATATATCCCTATATTTTTATGTTTAGTTTGGCTCTCAATTATAAACATAAATGTTTGGTGTACACTAGTGGTTACACTCTCTTTACTTGTCCTTCACACAAACAAAAAATATAAATAAATGCACTTTCGACAAATTTGTGTGTGTGAACACAAATTGGTTTGCGTGTAAATCACACATCTTGGTGTACCTTTTTTGCAGATTTGTCAGAGTGATTGCATGAAAATCAATGTCAGTGTAACTAACATTAGTTGTTAGTTGTCTGTGTAGACAAAAAGTATCTGTACATATACAGTTTTTGTCTGTGACACAAACTTTTGTTTCGGTGCAATTTAACCAGGCTTTCTAAACATTATTTGTTTGTGTACACAAATACTGAGAGAAAACCAGTGTCTGTATACGTACATTTTTTGTTTATAGAGAAAGTTTATAGAATGTCACTAGTTTTTTAGTTTCGTCTTTCATTAAAGATAATATTTATCATTATTTAGCACGATACACACAATACTTATATATCATGCAGACAGAAATTTCGGCGGCTCTAATTTTTTGATGACTTTCCGGTGAATTTCCGATCATGATGATGGAAGATGGTTGTCACGCCCCAGACCGCAATCCAAGCGCGTGTACAACCGCCGTATAATCAAGTGACGTCACCCGCGAGTCAACCTCACTTAATTACACAAGGCGTTCGAGAAAATAATCCATCCATACTCAGTAGTAAACATACATAACAACATCACATTTAAACCAATGAATAGCGGAAATATTCAACGGTAAGTCATAAGTCACAGCCGGCCAACAACATGGGCATGCAAGCCCCAAAAAAATAGTTTATAGTAGAACAAATATCCATGAGCAAGTGTTCGGTAGTTTGAAAGAAAATAAGGAAGCACGAACCATGTCTTCCTGAAGTTGATATCACCCGTAAGAAGGTGCAAGTAGCAAGCCCTAGCTTCAACCTGAAAATGGTGGGGCCCCCCGAAGGGGTCAGTACAAGTACCGAGCGAGTAGCAGGCTAAATATAGAATAACTAGCGTTTCAAGTATAAGACCCAAACATAGGGTGATACTTATATAAATAGTCTTTCCCCCAAGTTATGAAATACTTATTAGTATATATATACTTGGAAAATACTCGATCCGTAGATCACCATTTTATTTGGGAAAACTAGTGATAGTCAATATTCTTGACTAAAAACCCCAACCCACCCATATACCTATGAGTGTATAGGACTCCTCTTTGTCCCTATTTCAATATCATAATCTATGAGTTTTGAGGATCATAATCCTTGGGTACTCCACCAATTTATTTCCGAGTGTTAAGGACTTTAAGTCCTAGGGTCCTCCACCAAGTTTGAGTGTTAAGGACTTTTAAGTCCTAGGGTCCTCCACCAATTTATTATCCGAGTGTTAAGGACTTTAAGTCCTAGGGTCCTCCACCAAATTTTGAGTGTTAAGTACTTTTAAGTACTAGGGTCCTCCACCAAATTTTGAGTGTTAAGTACTTTTAAGTACTAGGGTCCTCCACCAATTTTGAGTGTTAAGTACTTTTAAGTATTAGGGTTCTCCACCAATTTTGAGTGTTAAGTACTTTTAAGTACTAGGGTCCTCCACCAAAATATTTTCCTATGATCAACCTCCTATCACCCTAGATAGAGTCTATATCATACTTAGTCACTCATCACTAATTCAATACATAAAGCTTATGTATCACAATCCATGCAAAGCCATGCAATTATATACATGTATAATTAACTAATATCAACCGATATTAATTAATCCATTATCCATCGGTCAACGTTATCGTTGACCGCCATTTCAAGTCTTACACTTATCAACTTAATCATCATGTAATTAAGTTGATAATATTCATTGGTGCTTCTTATACACTTCAAACAAATATGCATTTTATATAATTCTTCATATCATATTCCATGCATAAACAATTTATTTCTTTCATACAAACTTAACCCTATTGGCTAATCACATGTTTAAATATCTTTTAAACATCATTATGAACTCATATAACATTTATTTAGGTAATCTCATAATTAACCCAAAAGTTATAAGATATTAAGCCGTCCACTCACCTTGAACTAGCGTTATGAATTTCTACCCTTCTTGGTTGAACTCCGGTGAAACTCCGGCGACTTTTGGTCAACTCCGGCGACAACTCCGGCGACTTTTCCAACTTTTTGAAATCACTTGAAATACCCCTTACAAGTGCCTAACAAGGTTTTAACATCATAAAACCTTAATCAATACAAATAACCTATAAAAGGTTATTTTCCGGTGAACCGGTCGTTTTGACTTCTAAATCCGTTCTTGGACATAGAACCACCTTTCAACCAATAAATCCATACTTATAACATGTGGAACCATGCTAAAGGTCCTCAATATGATATATATTTCATATGGTAGAAGAAAAAATAAAGGAAAAGTCATGATAAGGTTATTACCTTAGTTTTTACACTTTTTCCTAGCTTTTTCCTTCTATTATCTTCCTCCTTGGACTCCTATTGCTTGAGCTTTGTTCTTGGATATGGAGGATGTATTTTGCAGAGGGTTTCTTCTCCTCTTGATGTGCCTTGGCCGAAAATGAGGATGGAGGTGAGAGGAAGTACCACCTTTTGGCTTATTCCACCATGATAACATGGCAAGGACCCCCCATATGTCCTTTTGATGCCAATCCCCTCAAGTCAACCACTCCCACACCCCTCCTCTCCAATCAGCCAGCCTTCCCCCCTCTCCCAGCCCACATAATTTCGTGGGTTGGCCCCCACATGTGTGGGAGGTCACCCCTTTAAGCCTTGAAGTGTACAAACGGTCCCGAAAATTGTATTTTTCGGACTGTTTTAAATATATTTTATTTTATCGGGTCAAATAAAATATATTATGTGCTCTTACTCATTATGACATTTGTAATGAATATAAATTCCTCATCTTTAATTTATAAGCCTCCGAAATTCAGTTCGGGCTGTTATCTGTTAAATTACCAGTACCGGTAATTTGGGCCTCTTTTGACCAATCGGTCGACTCTGGGCCTTTCCAGGGCCCAAATGAAATATCCACCACTATATATTTATTATCTAGACCAAGATGAATAAAATATATGGTCTCGGGAATGTCGGGCGGCCCCCGCTCCCGGTGTGGGTCCCACGTGCAATTTACCATTCACGCGAAAGAATTAATAAAATTTACAACTTCGTAAATTCATGAATCATTCCATAAGGTTTATTACATCATTTACTTGAAAGTAAATACATTTGGGGACGGTGTTACAATGGTGATGAATAAAAGGTAAAAAGAAAGAAAAAGAGAGAGAGAGAAAGAAAAAGAAAATGATGATGATGAGGACGGAGAAAGGGAGAAAGAATGAAAGAAAAAAGAAAGAAGAGAGGGAGAAGGTGTTGGTATGATAGAAGAGGGGAGGAAGAGGATAGTGAAAATGGGGAGGGAGAAGAGTAAAAAACTAATCATGAACAATTAGGAAAAATATACCACTTTATAAGTGAGAGCTGAATATATTTCCTCCAACGTTTTCAAGAACAATTAAATACATATTTTTAATTGGAATAAATATGCCCTGATCTATGTATTAGAGAATAGGGAAAACTATCAAATAGATCCTTGTACTATAGCAAAAATATCAATTCAGTCCACATACTATATAATCGTTCAATCAAGTCCTCAAACTTTAAGAAACTCTCAATTTTGCTTTTTATCAAGTTAAATACCGGTTACTGGTTATCCGGTTAGTCCCTTACGTGGCCAACCTGCTAACTCTAATTTTTTTCTTTTTAGCATGTGACACTGGTTGAGTCACGTACCATCTTCATCCTCACGTCTGCCACATACCTGTTGGGATTGAAAAATTCTTCTATTCAATATCAAGAACAGAATTATAATAGGAAAAACAAACTCTCACACTCAACTATTACAAACAACCAATCCTCACCAATACACTTCTACTTTAAGTGTATTTCACTCTTCACGCACTTTTCTCACTTTTTAAAACTGATGATATGAACAAGAATAGAACACTCTATTTATAGGCTAGTTTGGAGACAAGAGGAAGTTCCATCCAAGCTTTCAAGTTATCTCCATATCTTCTCCCATGTTCATGTGTTTGATAGCTCCTTCCTAGAAGGTGTTATATGTCTCCTAGCAACTTCCAAGAAAGAAGGTGGAAATTCCCTACAATTCTCTCCCTCCACCCTTTTCTTTATTTCTCTCGTTCCT